ATAAATGAAGCACCCCTGAATCTGCTCAGATATTGAATGCTTCAGTCACATTTACAAACGACAGATAAAAGATGAGCTTTGTGTCTTATGGTCCTTGATGGAAGAAAATAAATAAGATAAGCAACAAACAAGAAAATATCACCTCAGATGCAGAATAATTCTATTTGGGTCGTAAAAGACCATAAAGTGGAACAATGTTTACTTTGAGGATTATGAGAAAATCCTCTTGTATAAAACCTGTGCGTGTGTGTATGTGTTTGTTGGAAGTGGATAAAACAGATGCCGTCGAATGATCCAATAGAAGAATGAGTGAAGGGAACTGACTGGCCTGTGATAACAGTCAACTTGTCCACCAACAGAACCCCCTGCTGACGCAAACACACATGTATTTGCACATACATACCCGGGTCCCTCCCTCCCTCCCTCCCTTCAGTCGCATTACATTTCATAACAACCTCACCGTCTTGCTTTTGAAAATGCAGCGGCTTAGAGCCATGCACATTGCATGTACACAAACGCATATGTGTAGTTGGCGCGCGCCGGGAAGGCGGTGAGTGCTGTAAGACGAAGATGTGAGAGAGGAAGAAAAGCGACACAGAGGGAGAGCATGAGAGTCCAAGGCAGCTGCAGGATTGTGGCTGTATGCCCTGTGTGTATTCTCCCGAGGGCTGGCACTGACACCATGAAGCCTGCTGTCCTGGCTGGAGTGGCCCGGGCCTGCCTGGTGACAGAGAGACACACGGAGGAGGAGGGGTATGGGGGTGCGGGGCGGGGGGGGGTACCCGTGGTGCAGAGGAGTCACCCAGTAGTCGGTTGATTGTTGTGCGACTAATGTATCCGTCCAGTGTCCATCTGCTGCTGGGCCCCTCTCATGCTTGTGTCTCCTATGCCTCATTGTAAAGACGCTTCAGGACATACTCAGGCCCCTTCACATTTTGCTCACTTATTGTGTAAAATTTATTTATTTATTTATTACAAATTTACCAAAAATGACTGAAGTCTCTCATTTTCAAAAGTATTCAGACCTCGTCCATGCTCCAAAGCGCTCCATCCGCTTTGCTTTGATTATCCTTTTAGATGTGTTTATAACTTGATTGGAGTCCACCTGTGGCAAACTGAATTGATCGGACGTAGTTTAGAAAGGCACACACCTCTGTGTGTGTGTATAAGGTCCCACAGTTCACACTGTTTGTCTGAACAAAAACCGAACTGTGACGTAGAAGGTAGACCTGACAGGCATAGATCAGGAAGGAGGAAGGGTATAAAACCACTTCTAAAGCCTTGAGTCTTCCCAGGAGCACAGCGGCCTTAATGATAAGAAGTTTGGAACCAGCAGGATTCCTCAGGACGGTCACTTTAACAGAGCTTCAGAAGTCCTGAGCATAGACGGGACGACCTGCTAGAAAGGACAACCATCGCAGCAGCTCTCCATCAATCAGGCCTTTATGGTAGAGCGGCTAAACAGAAGCCACTTTGAGTAAAAGGCATATGATAGCATTTAGAGGATTCTGCGAGCACGAGGAAAAAGTCTGATGAGACATTATGTCCGGCTTATATTATCAATGCCTGTGGAGAAGCATGGTGGTGGCAGCTTCACGCTATGGAGGTGTTTCTCAGTGGCAGGGACGGGGAGAATGAATACTTTCTGAAGGCAATGCAGCTGTAGTTTGTGTACCCAGAAACCTCTTCTCCTCTTCCACCTACTCCCTGATTTCATCCTTTATAAGCAGCTACACATTCATTATAGACCCAAGGTGAATTCGTGACTGTGACATTTTAGTCTAATTAATAATCAGGACCAGGGTTGCAGCAGCTCTTCGTAAGTCCATCCTAAGTTCTTAGTAACTGTTAGCTTTTATTAGAACTTAAGCTTAAACCATTAGAACTTAAAGCGGCTGTAGTCAACCACCCGACCCTGCGTTTCCCCTCAGCTCTGTGGAGCTTTACAGCTTTTTTCAGCTCAATGTTTTTGCCTTTTTACAACTGCAACTTTACTTCACTCTCTTCAAACTGTGGTTCACTCTCACAGCACAACCCGACGTACAGCACCTGCCCAGCAACAAACAGCAGAACTAGGAAACAGCCGGTGAACATACTGGAACATTTAGCAGCTAAAGAGCCAGTGTGCAGAGTGTAAACTACGGTATGGTTCCAGTTTATTTGAATCTGATCTCAGCACTGTGGTTGGCTAGCTTACACAACAGGATTTATTTGTTTGTTCCATGTTTACAGAAAGTGAGAGAAACCAGAGCCAGTCTGACGATCATATACCACTGTTAAGGATCATGGGAATTTACATTGTGGTGTATATTTAAAGTTCACTTTTGCTTCCTTTTTAGAATTAAATGTAGTTATGAACAGTAGGTTTCATAGTACCCACATGTAGAGCAGTGAAGTGTAATAATAGCCACCACTCAGGCTGAGTTTGGTGTTTGAAGGCCGTTGCTCCGTGGTAAAAAAAAAAAAATAGCACTTTGAGTGCTGTAGATACTATAGAGACAAAATGTAGCTGTGGGAATTTAAAACCAATTGAAGTTAAAGCGTAGGTGGTTCATTGTTATCGCTTCAGCATGGGACTTCAAAGAGGTCAGTGTTTTTTGAATGGCTCTGCAGTAAATTACAGAAATATTCATATTATGGGAAGAAGAAATTCTCTATATTTCTGTAACCTAAAATCTAAAAGCTGCTGACTTGAGACCTCGAGGTTTTCTTTTTTCATTTTTTTTTCTTCTGAGGGAATCCATAAAAGATTATTTGAATGTGCCGGGCTGCTTTTGTGCTGCAATTGATTATTTCTAGTGATTCACAGACCATAACTGACTCAAGAGGAGAGCAGATCAAGACCCTCGTGCACACAAAGTCGCTGCTGCTTGGGGGCCCTTGAGAGCAGCTGTAGCTGAAAACATAACATTGACATCACCTTATATGTGGCTGATATGTTCACCTGATGAATGAAGACTCAATATTCAACCTTGTTTTAACTTTGTTTTGATCACCACCAACTCCTGAGGTTTATCAGCGGTTTCTTCCTGGAAATAACATTAATGAGAACGGGCCACTAAAGGCTTCATAGAGATGTGGGTGATGGCTCTCTTTTAGTGTGGCCCTCTGGGTGACCCCTATTCATATGACACACATAGACAGTTGATCCACTTTTTATAATAAATACTGTTAGTGCAGCTTCAAAGCTTTATGTGATGATGGCTTTAAAAGGCAGCTGATGGTTGAAAAGTTTTATTATTTGAGCATCTTTAACCTTAAGTTACTGTAATGGTGAAGATATAGCAAATGGCCAGAACTGGTTTTCTCTGCAGGAGTGGTTTTGGAAAGTATCTACGGATGTTTTCACACTTCTATTTCTTTAAAACTTCAGTTTGAAGCAATGATGATGATGATCACACAGATCATGTGTGAGGGACACTTCTGTTTGCCACACACAGTTGCATATTCACAAACACAGTGTCTCTTGGTGTAGAGGAAACAAATCTTGCTGCTGGTGCTCAACCATACAGCCTGCTAGATGAATGAATCCTTGTTTGAATGGAAAACTGCTGGGGGAGGGAAGAGGGGAAGAAAGCAAGGGTGGTAAGTTGGAGAGGAAACGGAAATGAGGGTGAATAGAATAAGCATGGAGGGAGAACCAGAGGACAAGCTCTAGTAAAAACCAGTGGATCCCATTCATTACACGCGCCCGTGAGTCTGAGCCAACAGATGTTTTTGTTGTGGCCTTGCAGTGTTTTCCCCCCAGGTGCTAAAACTCTGTGAGTCGAGCTCAAGTGTGTGGACGGGGTTAAAATGTGTCCAAAATGTTGCTGCTGCTCTGCAGGCTTCATTTGCATGTGTGCGTGTGCACACTGTCAAGTGTAATTGTGTTAAAATTAGCCAGGCAGACACGCATGCACACAGCACACACACACACACACACACACACACACTGACATACACACTTCACATTGCAGGCTTGTGCGGGCTGTGGTGAGGGACAGTGCATGGGAAGTGTGAACAGTAGAAGACCAGACAAAATGACATGTGTTCGCCCAAGGAGCTGGCACTGTAATTGTGTGTACATGCGTCTAAGTGTGTGTGTGTGTGTGTGTGTGTGTGTGTGTGTGTGTGTGTGTGCGCGTGTGCATATGTTGGTGTGTGAGTGTGGTGTGTACTGCGCCAACCCTGTTGTTTACCGTGGGGGATTTTAGAAGAATTGTAGGCAGCTGGCAGGCCCCCTCAGTCCCCCCCCCCCCTTTTTAAATCTGCGTCTGTCTGTCTTTCTGTCTGTCTGTCTCTCTGTCTCTCTGTGTGTCTCTCTGTCTGTCTCTCTCTCTGTCTGTCTGTCTGTCTCTCTGTCTCTCTGTCTGTCTGTCTGTCTGTCTAATTCACTTGCTCCACTTCTGTGCATGTGGATTTGATGTTGGGCTACCACAACAGTTCAACAAAATAGGCAATTTCCTACTTGAAAAGAAGCAATAATTTCCCCGTAGCAGCTGGGATACCGGCTTACGACATGTTGATCAGAACGTAAAGCTGCGCTGGAAAATATGTTTTTGGGGAAAAATACAAGACTTAATATCAGAGTAAATCACAGAGTGAGCAGCGGAGAGAGGAGCACGGATGATAAGGGCTGAAAACAGTTTGAACTTCAGCAAACAATCTTTCTGTTTTTGTTTTTTCATTTCAGGTTCCTGCTGTCTGGCGTTGCATATCGGACCAGCTCGTTGAGTTTTCTACAGACAGACTTCAGCCACTTTCAGTGTTAGTATTATTGGTAGTTAGTATTTGGGATCACTATTGTTGAAGCCACATTTAGCATTAGCATCCTGTCTCTAGTTGTCCACAGCTGGTTGTCCGCACTGGGAGTTAATTATTACCATTAGTATTAATAGTATTATTAGTATTTTTTTTTTTTTTTTTTTTTTTTTTTTTTTTAACACGTCGCGTTATTGGAATCAAACCATTAGCATCAGTGCTGAGCACACGTCGGCCAGTTAACGTTAGCTGCCAGGATGGAGCGCAGTAGCTGGAGCGGCAGTGAGAGTCCCGGGGAGGACATGGACAGACTGAGTGACTCGGGAGGGGACAAGACCATGGACGGGGACCCCGAGGGGGTCTGGAGCCCCGACATCGAGCAGAGCTTCCAGGAGGCCCTGGCCATCTACCCGCCCTGTGGAAGGAGGAAGATTATACTGTCGGATGAGGGAAAGATGTACGGTGAGTGATTTGAAATGTAAGATAATAATGAAAAGTTACCAAAAATAACACGGACTGTTGATTTTGTGCAGCCAACAGTCACAAAAGACAAAAAATATTCCATTTAAATGATATGCTTTCAGTGGATTCAGAAAGCAGTCAGATGCATTCACATTTTGATTTGTAGATTTAATTGTAAATGGATAAAATTACCATTTTTGCTCATCGGACGACGCTCAGTATCTCATAATGATGACATGAAAACATGGTTTTAGGAATTTTGCAATAAAATCTCTCATTTGCAAAAGCATTAATACCCTTCATCCAGTCCTTTGTAGAATCCCTCCGGCAGCAGCTACAGCCTGAGTCTTCTCGGTTAAGTCTGTACAAGCCCCTTTAGATTGAATGGGAAGTGTCTGTGCGTGACGCTGCGACCACCATGCTTCACCTTAGGGACGGTAATAACCAGGTGATCAGCAGTGTCAGGTGTTCGCCAGACAAAGTGTTTGGTTCAGTTTTTGTCTCATCAGACCAGAGAGTCTTTTCCCTCATGTTCTCAGAGTCTTTAAGCGCCTCCAAGCGGGCTGTCATAGTGGCTTCTGTCTGACCGTAAAGACCTGATTGACGGGGAGATTCTGGAGCTCTGAGAGTGACCACTGGGTTCTTCTTGGTCACCTCCCTGACCAAGGCCCTTCTCGTTCGGTTACTCAGTTCAGCAGCAGGTACAACTCCAGGATGAGCCCTGTTTGTACCAAACTTCAAACACTGAACATTTCTAACTGAAGCTTTAGAAATGGATTCATACTTTGCACTGATTTAAACCTTGACACAGTTTTATCGTAGAGGTCTACAGAGAGTTCCTCGGATGTCATGGTTTGGTTTTTGTCCTGACGTGGAGTGTGAAATGTGGGTCCTTTATACACACAGGAGTGTGTCTTTTATAAACTATGTCCAGTCAATTCAGTTTGCCACAGGTGGACTCCAATCAGGTTATAGCCACATCTCAAGGATAAGTAAAGCAAAGGATGGGAATACTTTTGTAAATGGGAGATTTAAGGTTCTAACTTTTGGTAAATTTGTAAAAAATAAAATTCTAAAAACATGTTTTTGAAGTGAAGGGGTCTGAATACTTTCTGAAGCCACTGTAAATCAATTGACAAGTTGTTATTGATTCATTTTCTGCGGATAAGTGATTACAGGACCAATAAATACACTTTTGTTTGTGTATTTATATAGTGATGAACCAAATATAGAGTGTGAACAATTTGTTTGTCACTAATTCACACAGTGTGTCGTGGCGGAGTGTAACATCTCTGCACAGTGTTATAAACACATCCTGTGATTGGCTGAGCTGTGGAAGTGTTCGCTGTGTGTGTGTGTGTGTGTGTGTGTGTGTGTGTGTGTGAGGGCCGTCTCACAGGGCAGAGACGCAGGAAAGAAAGATAAACTGTAAAAGAGGAAATAGAGGCACGCTATAGGTGCATCATGTGTATGTGTGAATGAGCGTGACATTGAGGGGTAGAGTGTGTGTGTGTGTGTGTGAACTAATAGAGTGATGAACAGATGGTCCTCTGGCTGCCACCAGCTGCGCCTCCCTCCCTCTCTCTTTCACTGTCTTTCTCCCTCTCCCTCCCTCTCTCTCTCTCTCTCTCTCTCTCTCTCTCTCTCTCTCGCTGCAGAGTGCACTCTAGTGATTTCTTCATACTGCACGAGTTTTAGGCCTCTGAGTATTAAATTAAATCCCAGATATTAGATCTTTTTTTTTTTTCCATCGAGGAAGTCTTGCCTCAAAACCATGGACACACAAACACACACACACACACACACACACACACATACACACACACACACACACACACACACACATACACACACACACACACACACACACACACATACACACACACACACACACACACACACACACACGTATTACATGGCCAAAAGTTTGTGGACACCCAAAGAGTTCAATCATATCTGATAGTTAAGACAGAGCAGCATCAGTGAGGGTCCAAGGCTTTAAATCAGCCTAAAAGTGTTGAGGTCAGTAGAGCAAACCATCTCTTTAAAGCTGCGCTTACAGTATCAATATTTATATATAAAAATAATCCACAGAGAATTACCATCCACCTTTACACTTCCCTTCAGCCCTAGGGAACATTTAGCATGTTTTTGCTCATTGTTTTTGATTTTATGACCCAGAAACTGTAATGTTTTGTTTTGCTTCTCTCAACCTCGTTTCCAGCAGCAACAGGAAGCCGCTTTCAGAGAGGAAACTGACATTAGCCATAACAAGTTGATGAGATAATAAGTCCATGTTTACAAATTGTTGTGCATCCCACAAGTGGCCAAAAAAAAAAATCAATAAATGCAGCTTTAATGACCCGTCCTTGTGCAGGGGGGGCATGTTGAGATAGGAAAGATAGGGCTGCGCAAAAACTGTAGTTGACGTAACTATTGTCTAAGATTCCTTTTGATTGGAACAAAGGAGCCAAATGTACACAAGAGTATGTTATTAGCATTAGACGTATGCATATCGGAAAGCACTACACCACCTGAAAGGCTGACACGCGGAGGTCACACTCATAACTAAAAACTCCCGCTCAAGCTCCTCTTGTGTTATCGACCAGCCGCCAATCAATCCGTGTCATCCCGTCCCCTGCCTCAGAAGGCATGTGCAGTGCTGTTTGTTTACCTTGTTGACGGCGTGTTCAGGCCGTTGACATGTTTATCACGGTGACCTGATATGCTTAGACAGTGTCTGTTTTCAGAGGCAGAGCAGGAAGAGGCGAAATGGCGGGAAGGGATGAGCAGCGTTTGGCGTGGAGAGTCCGAGAGGGGTTTTTTAATCGTTACTACAACATCTGTGCGAACCAGAATTATGAAACAGTATCTAGTTCTTAAGTCTTATTTTTGGCTCATGATGCACGCAGAATAGGACAGGCTCACATTTTTATTCATGCACGATGTTTCATTTGCCTTTTAAGAAACATGGGAGTCTTTATTGAATTTTTTAATTTATTTTTTTCCCCCAATGAAAAAAGCACAGTGATGTTTTTGTACTTAACGCAAAAGCAACGCACCGTATGCACACAACCTTGGGCTTCCTTTAAAAACTTGGCATTATTTTCCTCGCTATTCAAACCAAAGCCTGTTGTTAATGGTGGTTTTGTGGATTCCTTGGGCATTATATTAAAGTAAAATGAGTGGCAGGTGAGTAGTCCTACAGAAAAGAAAGAGGTAATATCTGATGGTTAGGGGACCTATGTGTGTCTAAAAATACCCCCCACTGGTTACAGGGAAATGGACTGAAATAGAAAAGAAGAAGGAAAAATGTGCAAAAAGTGCCAGGACGAACTTAGCAGGAGAGAAGCGTAGAAAAATCATAAATGGACGCGTATAAAAGGGAGAGCGAATGAAAAGGTGAATAATAGCGCCATTATCCTTGGCAAAGGTACATCAGAGGTACAAAGTAATGGGCAGTGGCTTTGTCCCTTACGCACACATGGTATGGATCTACTGGACAAATATAAAAGTCATTTAATTGGTATTGAACCTTCTTCGTCTGCTAAGCTGTGGATCAGGGACATGTTCAAAACAGACATATTACAGACGTTTGCTACATACTGTGAATGGCAGTGGAGGAGGTGCAGGCTGTGGCATTGACATAGACTGCAAATATTTTTTCATCTTCAGTATGTGTCATATTAAAGTATTTTCTTTCTGTGTCTTTGTCACATTGTATAAAGCTTCCTTTCCGTTCCAATGAAAACTTAATTTCATCTATCATCTTCATTTAAAGTGGAGGCGTCGCTTCACATCCTTCGTCAGAGCTGAAAGTTTTGTTTGTTTCCAGTCGACGTGCCAAAAGTCGCACTGGTTATTCAGCTCAAAATGTGATTTATTTTGAAGGAGCTGATGCATTTATGTGGATTAAAGGCGAACTCCTTTGATTTTACACATCAGCGTCCGTGTGCAGGTCTCAGGGATTGCTAAATAAAAGTTGTATTAAGTCTTTCGTGGCTCCAGATGCAGCTGCACAAAGTGATATTACTTGTGTCAGTGTTTGTCGGACTAAAATAATTCCCCCTCTTCCAAACTCACCACGAAAGACTGACAATCATTCGTAATGATTAACTCTTAAAAGGTAATCACTAAACTACTGCATTGATCACATTGAAGTCACTGGGCGTGGACAAACGGATTGTCTGCTGAACTCAGTGAAGTCAGTGTTCAGTGTCAAAAGAAAACTGTGTTGTCCTGATGGATTAGTGGTTGAAGACACATACCTTGTGACTGCAAGGTCACGGGTTCGAGTGCAGTTCAGGGACCAGTGTTTCTGTCCTCCCGTCTATTGTGAACTCACACGTCGTCACTCTTCTGCTTTTAAAAGTTGTTTAATCCACAAATGTCAAATCGTTGAGCTTAATTGGACCCTGCTCATCGCTGCTTGTGGTTGTATTTACTTTTTGAATATGTTTGAATCAAGTAAGTAGTGTTCATTGTCTAAGTTTAGCATGAAACAGATTTTTACGTCGTCACCAGCAGCGAAAGATTCCCAGAGTTTAGTTATTCTTTAAAGGAAGTGGCTGCTTGTTTCTTATATATGAATGATTAACCGTGCGGTTAGCAGGAGCGCGGGTGATCTCAGCAGAGACAAAGAAAAAGAGCACCACGCGAATGAGCTGAGAAAAAACGACTTAAAAACACTTAAATTGTCCCGCCGGTGTTGTAACAAGCAACGGACGTCGCACTCGCCGTTACTGCGGCCAGGCTCCGGGCCAGGGTTCGGCGCCTGTGGTCTCTGAGGTGTTCCCGGGCTGCAGAACAATGCACACCACTCCACTGCAGCCTTATTAGCGAGTACAGTCAGCGAGGCTTTGACCTTATTCTGAAAGGGTTTTCAAACTATTCTATAAAGCAGCTGAAGCTCTTAATCACTCTGCTAACTGAGCGTGGTGAGCAACAGTAAACTACTGCAGTAATGCTTTTTTTTTTTTTTTTTTAAAGGACAGGAAAAGAAGAAAATATGTTCAAGTACAAAGGCACTTATTTGCTAAGTGCTCATTTGTTCTCATAGGTATTTCCACACTCTTTCAGTGACAGGTGACAAATTAGACGATGCTTTGCTGCCTTGCGGAGAGTATTGCATTTCAGTCCCTATATTTGAATTCGAGAATTTCTGCACCTCACGTTCACATTTACTGGAAACTGAATCACTTGATTTTATCAAAGCGTCACAACTCTGGCTCTTTATTCTTGTTTTCTTTCATGGGTCCTCTCACATGTTCTCAAATCTCTGCTGAAGCATGTAGAGCATGTAGGTTCACATGTATTTCCAATGTGTCGTCTCCCTCACTATCTGCTCGCACAGAGAGTGGCTACAGCCGGGAGGTAGGGGAGGGGGGGCTGGGGGTACTTCTGTTCGTCACAGTTAATGACCATCTGACTTTGGCCTTGAAGTCTTTCACTGGGCAAGTAGAGAGGGAGGGAGCGACAGAGAGAAGAAGAGGGAGGGAGCAGGAGGGAAGCCCATTCACTACAAGAGGGACAGAGGAGGGGAAAGAGGGAACAGCCAGAACAGAGGATGGATGGAAGGGCGAAGAGGGAGGGAGGGAAGGGCCTGTGTGTTTCTGTGTGTGTGTGTGTGTGTGTGTGTGTGTGGGGATGTGTGTTTGTGGGTGTGCTGGAGAGTTTTTGAGAAAGAGGGAGGGCGAGAGTGAGGGATGTGTGCCGCAGGGTTAGTGAAGGATGATAATTCACCGTTAAGCCTCCTAGAAAGACCAGCTGGCCCCTCTGGAGTCAGATGTCAGCCTCCGCAGCCAGGACCCACTCTGTGTGTGTGTGTGTGTGTGTGTGTGTGTGTGTGTGTGTGTGTGTGTGTGTGTGTGTGTGTGTGTGTGTTTTGGCACTCATGCATGTATATACGTGCATGTGTGTGTGTGTGTGTGTTGACGTCAGTCGCAGCTTTTGACTGCTAGAAGGAAAACACCTGCATGGGGAGCTGTAGATTTTATCAGTCTAAGCTCTCTATCTCAGTGAGAGTGGGACTGGTCAGAACACACACACACACACACACGCACACAGGCACACAGGCACACACACCATCTGCTAGTTAGTTAGGGCTATTGTTGTGAGCCATTTGGGTAGTGTGTAGAGGTTTGGCTTTGTGCTGATCTTGACCATCAGTTGGCCAGCTGGCCTGACTTTGGTTTTCCACTTGGTTGGAACAGAAAACAGGCCAGGAGACAAACCAAAGCAAACTGAGCCACACAGCCACAAATTTGCTTGTTAGCAAATAAAATAACAGTCGAATTACTTAATTTCACAAAATATTTAAAACGCCACCGCCATCTTTGAATTTGTACGACTCTAAAGTCACAAACTGGTCAGATTTAAGAGGCCTCTGCAATGCAGCACTGTTAATCTGTTAACTAATCTGTGTTTTATACTGTGTTTGATACACACACACACACACACACACACACGTCTCTGTAACAGGTTTTCTGGATGTAACACAGGGGTTTTCTGCTTCTTTTTTCTCTCTGTCTCCCTCACTAATTTATACTAGCCAGGTCATGCTGAGTCTGCTGTGCTCCCTATTGAATGGGTTGAATTATTCAGCATTGTAAGAGTGTGTGTGTGTGTGTGTGTGTGTGTGTGTGCGCGCGCATATGTGCACACACATAAGCATGGGTACAGCTGGCCTGCTGGTTCCTTTAATCAGGGGACGGCCGGTCTGCATGAATGCCTGTATTGTTGGGTCATGTGTATTCAGGGCCATGGCGTGTGTGATTTTGTGTGTGTGTGTCTGTGTGTGTGTGTGTGTGTGTGTGTGTGTGTGTGTGAGCATGTGTAGAGGGCTCAACAGGGGTATCGGTGATTACAGTGCTACTATGTGAAACTGCACGTCACAAGGTCGCTAGGTCAACAGCACTAAATCAGGCACTAAGTTGTTTTTCAGGGTCTTATGATTTCTGCTTGTTTGTCTGTGAGAAAGAAAGATAGTTCAAATAGGGTCTTACATGTGTGTGTGTGTGTGTGTGTGTTGAGAGAGAAAACAGCATGCATAATGTTTCATCAGTATGTTCTGTGTCTTTTCCCTCCAGGCCGAAATGAGCTCATAGCCAGATACATCAAGCTCCGAACGGGCAAGACGCGGACGAGGAAACAGGTAATAATGGGAGAATGCAATCCAATCATACTGTCTACAGTATGCATCACAGCATATCACATTATACAGGGGTAATGAGGGAAATGGTGCTAACTGCAGTGATGAAGAGAACGGCTGGAAGGCTGACCTGTGACGGTCGGCTCAGTGGTTGAGTTTGGCCAAAAAAATAAAAAAGAAGCGTGTATCCACATGACCTTGCTGAACTTATCCTTTTTATATTTCTGTTTTCTACATTAGGAGAAAAGTAAACTGACTAAAGGTTACGAAAGAATCTTGGTTTAACTGATATTATTTTATAGGATCCCTAAGGTTATGTGTTTTATTTTGAAACTTTCAACACTCGCCTCTTGTTTTTATTATGGCTCACCATCAGTGTTGCCAAGTTGGGTGGTTTTCCACCTCACTGCCGCCCAGTGAAAAATACATCTGAGCAAGTTGTTTTGTTCCATTAAGGCGATGTCCACCTATGAAAAGTTAGTTAGTTATATTCCATAAGTTATTCAAATTTAAGGGAGAGACTGAGGCAAAGATACTGCATGAGGTGAATTGGCCTTAAAAACTTCACACCTCAAACCGAACTCAGACCGATCTGAACACACAAACATGCTACACTTATACAATTATGTACATATATAACATGTAGATATACTGTATAAATCAATTATTTTGGTAGATATTGTGATATGAGTCACGATTTTTATTGGAAATGGTAATTTTTGCATTTCAGGTCTGCAACAAACAAGCATGTTGCCTTATGTCTGGAGGGTCGGATCTGTAGGTCGGGGGCATCTCTGTAACGCCACATAAGTTCATTGCTTCATTTATAATCGTATGTCGTGCAGCCCTTTGCAATTTGGATATTTGGCTACGGTTTATGTTAATAGGCTGTATTTTTAGTTTTTAGTTATTTGTGTTTTTAGTAATGCGCCTGTCATTACGCCGCTGTTCGTGTAGAGAGACTCTGCTCAGTGTTATTGCTAATGGAGCTTAAGCTCAAGAGCGAGTTAAAAAACTTCTTTTATGTTCCACCCATGTGATTCTGGTGTGGAGGTCGTGTGTAACTTATATATAGCAGATTTATTTTAGAAATGTAAGAGAGTTTTCAAGGTTTTTAATAGTAAAAAATAGTAGCGTTTACCCTCTGAAATACACACGTTTAGATTTTCTGACGGCACATAAAGTGGAACCATCTGTATACAGTGTAATCTTAGTATCTCAGCCTGTGTTCCCAGGTGTCTGTTCGCTCTCTCAAAAGATGTGCATAGATGGGTCTATTCACTGTTGTCAGGGGAGTAGTGTGTGTGTGTGTGTGTGTGTGTGTGTGTGAGAGAGAGAGAGAGAGAGAGAGAGAGAGAAAGTGTGTGTACCCTTCCAGTGTGGCAACAGTCCTTTCATAACCATGGCAACTCACTGTTTGGTCCTTCCTCCTCTCTTTCCTACCCTCCAACTCCCCTTTCTTTTACCCTCTCCTCTTCTCCCCTCTCCTCCTCTCCTCCTCTCCTCCTCTCCTCCTCTCCTCCTCTCCTGAGAGAGAGAGAGAGAGAGAGAGAAAGTGTGTGTACCCTTCCAGTGTGGCAACAGTCCTTTCATAACCATGGCAACTCACTGTTTGGTCCTTCCTCCTCTCTTTCCTACCCTCCAACTCCCCTTTCTTTTACCCTCTCCTCTTCTCCCCTCTCCTCCTCTCCTCCTCTCCCCTCCCCTCCCCTCCTCTCCTCTCCTCTACTCTCCTCTCCTCTCCTCTCCTCTCCTCCAGGTATCCAGTCATATTCAGGTCTTAGCCAGAAGAAAATCCAGGGAGTTTCAGTCCAAACTAAAGGTAAGGGGTGTAGTAATCTACAACATTTAGACTCAGTGGGTGATGTTTTTTTTATTTTATTTTTATTTTTTTTTACTGTGAAAAAGCAGGAAGTGGCGTGTTTTACATTTCCAGTGTTTTAGTTACAAACACAGCTGATCAGTGAGGATTAGCTCTAATTACCACCATGAATGAACAAACCGAAGAAGCTCCACCTACAGACGGATTGTGGTTACCTCCACTACACCACATACTACACAGGAGCAGTCTGCTTGTTAACTTTTCCCTGCGGCTGGATGGATGCCTGTCACAGTGACTCCAGTATCCTAGGTGTCTAATTAGGCCTGTTTAGCTTTTCACCCCCTCCTGCTTCCTCCTCCTCCTCGTCCTCCTCATCCTGTCATTCTCTTACATCCATACATTCATTTGCTCCTCTCCTCCCTCCCTCCTTTTTCTTACACTCTCTCCCACCCTCCTTTCAGTCTATTAATCTCTCACCCTCCGTGTCTCCTCCCTCTCTCCCTCTTTCTTGTTCTACCTCACTGTTGGTTGTAATTAACTTCATGTAGACCAACAAAGGAGCGCTTGTTTTCCGAGAAGAGCAGTCAGAACCGCGGACGGAAACAAAGCGGGGACTGAATTGATGTTTGCGGTCATCAAATAAATGACAGATGGTTGATTAAAAGTAATACTATCGCTTATTTAAGTCAATGTCACAATAGACATCGAACACAGTAGACTAAAGTATATGTGCGTTAAAATTACATTAAAAAAAGACATTTTGGCAGAATGGAAATGTGTCATTATACACAATATTTAGTTGAAACTCTTGCTAGCTTGCAATTGTATTCAAAGATATTATTGTGCAACACACAAATTCTAGACTACATATGAAATAGGCGTCACCACCTCGAAGCATATTTGTATTTGAGCATAACACTAGACTGTTCTGAAGTCTTAATAAAATCAGGAAACACATAATATAAGAAATACGCTCCAAGGCACCTGTTGTTCTCTAAAGATTTTTATTATAGATTTATCATTATGGCTGTGTCTAATTATTACTTTCATTATCAATCAATCTGTGGGTTATCTTTTCAATTTTAAGATTGCTTGTTTCATCAGAGAAAAATGGGCGAAATCTCACATTTGAGACGATGAAATGAGCAAATATTTATTATTATTTTGGATGGTGATATTCTGTTGTTTCTTATTGTCAGCAAATACAATGAAAATACAAAAATGAATGATGAATTCATCCTAAGAACAAGATTTACCTGTATAGCAAAGGTAATACTTGTTGGTAGGATGTGGGTGGCTGTCTACTGACGGCAGGACATGAACCGCCAACCGTCACGTCCACGTGCCGAAGTGTCTGAACCCCAAGTTGCCTCACTCGTAAGTTGCTTTGGATAAAAGCATCTGCCGAATGAGTAAATGTAAATACTATAATTTAAACTAAAATATATTATTTATTTGCTCCACTGTTCATCACTGAGCCGCAGTGATATGATGGAAATGGGTTCTGTAGTTTATTTTGATTCCACGTTAATAATCCTGCCACTGGAAATACTCACCAGAGCACAAAATATATATTGATTGATCCGAAAATAGTCCCCAACAAATTTCTGTTAGAATAACGTTTGCTAAAAACTACAATACCCAGCTGTTTTTAGGAAGTTCTAAAAATGTACATCCTCAGTAGGAACCTTTGTTTGTTTTGGGCTGTTTATGGGATTTGTTGACAAAAAGAAACATATAGAATAACACCTGATAGATTATCAATATATATATATATATATATATTGATATATGTATATAAATAATTGGCTGTCTCAGCACTGATTTGCTAATAGCACATGAAGAGATGCTGTACAGTCTCTGTTCATTTGAACGTGATGTAAGATCCCTCCCTGCTGTTCGATTTCCCATTATAACTAAAACGCATGAGTCGGTCGTTCCAAAGAGCTCAGGTCAAGGATGTTATCAAACCCATATGGTTCCCGGTATTTAATATGAAAATCCAGCATGATTCCCATCTCAGTACCTCCTATAATGTTATTACCTCCCCTAGGAGGAGAGATTTCTCTCAGTGCCAATTAACTTGAGTGAAGCTGCCAATTAGTGATTCTCCAGCTATTGCACAGCCTGTAATTCCATTTCATTCAGCTGTTTTCTGCCTCATGTTTAATATTACTTTGAGTTCAGATGTTACAAATAATAATGCTACAAGTTCAGACTTGCTGTGAATGTGCTCTTTGTATAAGTGTTTGCCCAGAGGTAACGGCCCATGACAGTGCTCGTCAGTGACCAGATCACTGTGTTGTCTGAAGCACATTCAGCTCTGCTGTTGTTGCTATGACTTCCCCCAGGTCATTACACCCAAACTACACACATGTAGAGAAAGGTATTTTTCCTTCATGTCACTGAGAGACACTTTAGACAGAGACATGGATTTAGACATGAATGCACGTGGTTGGACATGGATTTTTGACTAGAGTTAGAAAAAGGCAAAACAAGGTCAAACAAGCATTGAAACTGTTGTAAATCGTTTAGTGTTTTATTCCTGAAAGTCCCTGTTCACTATTTACTGAAACCCCCTTTTTTAATCAGCGTTTTATTGTCAAGTTTTAGCTCTGAAGTTCTATTAAAACATACGAACAAAGCCTCAGATTTCTGAGCGCCACTGCTACTTTCCACAGTTGTTGTACTGTTGGTAAATGAGCCGCTCCATATTGGGCAGTTTACTCAAATTGCTGTTTGTTAATTTGTATAATTATAAAGTAGCAGGAGACGCCAGTCTGATCACAACCAATTCGATAATGATAGTAAGATAATGACAAGCGAATGGCGACAATTATGAGTTTTCCCCTCGAGCTTTGATCGTCTGCAGGATTTTACATTCTCAAGATAATTCAAATTATTCCAAGATTTTCCTGCTTGTCATCACTCACTCTGCCGCTCTGCATGAGCAGTATAAAGTATATACATCACAATGATATTCACAGTGATGACGGCGTCCGTGTGTGTGTTTGTTGACGTGCAGGACCAGAATGCCAAGGAGAAAGCTCTGCAGAGCATCTCCTCCATGTCCTCGGCTCAGATCGTCTCAGCCACTGCCATACACAGCAAGCTCCTGCCTGGAATAGTACGGGCCAGCTTCCCTGGCAACCCGCAGGTAACACAAACACACTGTATTTACATGTATTCTCTTCAAATAAATACAGGAAACACAAGGACATGAATAATAATAAGGCTTTTTTTTTTTTTTTTTCTCACAATCTGGACAGCACATATGCTCAGTTTGTGTCCCGGTGCACACACAAGGACACACATGCTCACCGAATTGCATTCAAGGTTTGCAGCCTCGGTTCACTGTATTAATATGTGTGTGTGTGTGTGTGTGTGTGTGTGTGTGTGTGTGTGTGTGTGTGTGTGTGTGTGTGTGTTTTCAGCTGTGGCAGGGGATGATCCCAGGGGGACAGTCCAGCTCCACCACAGAAGAGTAAGTCAAACTCACCTCACACACCATCATCTGACTCTGTTACTGATTGTCAGCTGTAAGATGTGTCACTGCTGTGGTGTGGGAGATTATTGGTGTGATTATATGACTGATAGTGTCGGTAAATCAAACACACAAACGTCAGCTCCTAGTAGCCACTGAGCTAGTTAGTTATCTTTTTTTATTGTCCCACAATTCCTTGCAAATCCTTCCTTGTTTCACGAAATCCCCTCCCATTTTGTGATGCACTAAAAATGAATTTTCTCTACTTAACATGCATAAAAAACGTAAAAAGAAACTATATATACTTTTATTTAGTTATTAGTTCAATGGCTCAACTTTCTCTACTTGTGTATTAAATTCATGTTATCTTATTCCAACATTTCAATCCTTCTTGCTTTGTTTTTGTGGTTAGAAAAAGGAATATTTATCACCCGTGTTGTATAAATAAAGTTGTTTAAAAGGGTGTAAGTGGAGTCAGATTCTCTCTGCACCGCAGTTGTTGTTTCCTAAATCCTTATGAATTCAGGTTCACATCTTAAGAGATTCATTGCCTAATCTGACACAGTGATCATCTCAATAGTTTAGCCTGTAACTACCAGTAAAGACCCTTTTAACCCTTGGATGTTGTTACTGTACCTGAGTTTCCAAAGTTAAAGGTACGCTGATGCACTTCATCCACCTGTTGTGTATGAAGTCTGATTTTTTTTTTTTTGTATAAGGACGTGGACACATTTGTAGCTTGTTTGTAGCAGATGGAAATGTTCACAAAAATAAATAAAATAAACATCAAATGTCTCGTCTCCGTTAATATTTGAGAAACCCGCCGGTGTGATTTCTGCTGACCCACACGACTGATGTCTTTCCACATTTTGGCAAAAGTTACTGATATTAATGTCTCTGTGAAGACCGTATGCAGCGGTTCAGACTTGGTGGATTAGCTCTACTGCTGTTTCCATGTCTGACATTAGCTTCTGTATCACACAGACAGCGGTTAGAGCGGATCATTGTGCTCCTAGTTCAAACTCATGCTCAATTCACTGCCGGCCGCTGTTACACGACCATGTCATGATGGCGATAATGGTAGTAAATGGGGCTGGTATAGCTTTTACTGAACTCAGCGGCACTCTTGACTTCTGTGCTGATGTTACTGTTCACACAAGACGCAAGAACAGAATTCCTTTCTATGTACAATAACATGCACAATGTGATCGGCCCGACTGTGTCTCTTCTTTCAGCCTTTTCAATGCTCTCCCGTCTGTCTCTTCTTTCTTTCAGCATCAAGCCGTTCTCTCAGCAGGCCTACAATGTGCAGACAGCAGGGACCACCACAATCTCAGGTGAGAGGGACCACGGTGCAATTAGTTCCTTTCTGTAAAGCAGACAGGCGGCCCCTCTCTCCTGTCATTTAGGCAGCCGGCTCTCTACAGGGTGTGTTTTTGACTCGGTCAGGTCGCCTGGATCTCCAGTGTGCCTCGAGGTTTGTCTTGTGACGCGTTGTGCCTGTTGCTATAACGTCTGATGGTCTGGTCAACTGCCATCACCACATAAAAGAGAGCCTGCTAATGCTAGCTAGCTCTCTGCCTTTCTATAATAGGAAACAAAACTCTTGAGTGCGCAGGAGCTTGAGATGATTCAGCGACTGAAAGCAGGAGAAGCTCAAATTCACTTTGTTGTTTGACAGGGGAGAGGTCACTCGTCGATTCACCTTCTCTCTCTTTGCTCTCTTTCCTTTTTAATTCTTCCTGTTTCCAACCAGCAATCCATTTTGATACTCCAGTTTTTGCCATGGATGTAATCAAACTGAGATAGCAAACAAGTATACGATATAGTCTGACCGACAACAACATGACAGTTCAAATCACTGGCTTTAATAGGCTTTAATATGAGAAAAAAAGTTTTTAAATGTCACACGTTTTACATATTATCTGTGATTTATTTGAAGTGTTGATCCATTAGAAGATACATTTGTGGTTTTAAGAACCAGAAACCATCCCAATGTAGTTTTACATCTCCTCTCTCAGGCTTCTCTCTGGAGCTGTAGTAGCAACAGGTCAATGACCCAATCAGAAGAGAGGAGGCTCTGAGTCTCTCTTCTGATTGGTTGACTGCTTTCTGAGTGATTAAATAAAAATAAAGCAGATTTCAGGTAAAACACTCAGAGAAATCAAATTCTGCAAGGCTTGGACGGTGGGTCTGGGTGGGCGGGGCTCGGGACATGGCTGAGAGAGGTGACTCGTTCATTTCTCTGTGGACTGAGGCTTTGATACTTTCACAGTATTAATATAGAACCTAGACCTGCTTTATAATCAAACAACACATGGAAATCTCACTGTATACAATATGGGACCTTTAAACCATTTGAATGTTTTTAAAGATAATATTGTTTTCTAATATTTAAAAACATTATTTATATTTTTGTTATTTTTATAATTACATCTGGGTACCAAAATTGTACTGTTTTGCAAATGCAAACTTGCAATTCCTTCGCATTAATGTTCCAAACTAAGTGGCTGATTCTAGTGGGAATATGTCTCTACAAAAGCTGCTCTTCAGGAATTTAAGAAGGCAACTTGTCACTTGACTTCCCTCCATTGTTGATCTTTCCTTGATAACAACTCATCGAGGTCCCTGCAGGGAAATTTTACTCAAAGTGGATGATGGCAGCTGTCAGTTACAGTGGCATGAAGCTAAATGACAAGAGAGAGGCTTTTGTAAATGGAGGGTATGAGTTTTCAGTCAGCCCCCATGCGATTTCACGGTGTCCTCATCATTGTCGCCGTTTTCCATCTACTTTCATTAACTGCTTTTCAGTGCGGGACCTTCACCTCAGTCAGGCTTTGTCCACGAGACTCCAGTAATGGCATAGGTTTTACACATTTGCAGCAAAGAATAATGCTAGCGTTGCTGCTAACCCTGTTAAATAGCATGATTGTACATGATGACAGTGGCGAAGTGAGGTTAAACTGAATGTGTGTGCCTTTTGTGTGTGTGTGTGTGTGTGTGTGTGTGTGTGTGTGTGTGTGTGTGTTGTCTAGCCTACGAGCCTCCCACTACAGCCCAAACACACAGAGAGCCAGCATGGCAGGGTCGCTCTATCGGCACCACCAAACTACGACTGGTGGAGTTTTCATCTTTCCTGGAGACACAGAGGGACCAGGAGGCAGTGAGTAACACACACACACACACACACACACACACACACACACACACAGAGCACCAGACTACAATAAGCACTCCCTATTGTCCCATAAACCGAGATGACAGATAACCCCACAGCAGAGAACAACGTTAAAGCCCTTTGTGTGTCTCCGTGTATGAATAACCTTTGTAAAGCTCTATCTCTCCTCTGCTCAGTCTATCTGTCATCCTGCCACACTGTGGACTCACTGTCATTTTTCTACTTTGGGCTCACAGACAGTTGGCATTCATCTTGTTGCTTTCTGTTTGGACAGTAAAAAAAAACAAAACAAAAAAAAAAACAACCTCTAACTGTTGTACAGTGACATTGAAATAGACGTTTTGTCAAAATGTCTCACCTTTCCTGTATTATGTACATTACTGTACATAATGTCGAGCAGAAGATGTCCTTAAAGGTAACAAAAGAATCATTGTTGATGGACAAAAACACACTGTTTAAGGAAAAATGTAGTGTTTTTACAACCTCGATAGAGCTGAGCAATTTTCAAATCATGATCAAGAGCATGCCTGTATTAGTGGTGAACATATTACACTTGATAAGTTTATACCAAGTATAATCACAAACCTATCGTGTTTCTGCATTAAAACAATCAAGAAAAACTATGTAGGTGTTTGATATTACTTGACTTCAGGGTTGCCCCTAGCTAAAGATGTTCCTGGCCGACTAGTAGTCGTTAGTCGAAGCCATTCATGAACTAGTCGTTACACCTTTATGATTTTAATTTAAATATATATTTCTGGGCGGCATCGGAAAGTGGTTCGAGTCCAGACCTGATGAAGAAGGTTTAAGTAACATTGTTAACACGGTGCTCAGTTACAGAGAAACACAAAACCATAATAATAAGCACAATCACGCAGCGAGCCGCCTGTTAAGAGACAGACAAAAGCAGTAATGATTCTGAATGTGTCGGGTCAACCAGCAAGGAGAATGTTAGAGCGAGTAGCCATGCTAAGTGGCTAACATTAAGCTACTTATATGTTTCAAATGATAAGCCAAATGTTGAGGCCGATGAATGAAAGTGAGTGGTGGCCTTTAGCTGTTGCATGTCCTTTATCCTCTAGAATTGATGGTCAAAACAAAAAATACTAAAATAAAACCCATTCTGTACAAAGATGAATTTATCTTTTAATTTCTTATTAATAAATATCCAAATAAGATCGATATTATATTTACAAAAGATTATGTCTGAATGCTGAGGGGGCTCTGGAATTAACCAAAATGTCAAAATGAAAACCAATCCACAGAAAACACTGCGTCTGTCTTTTGCTGTGTAAATTCAACAGTTTTCCACCTGTCTGCACCTTTTCTGCCCCCATCCTCGTTTGATGAATCCACTTCTCTCTCCTCAGTACAACAAGCACCTATTTGTGCACATCAGCCAGAGCAGTCCGAGCTACAGCGACCCACTGCTGGAGTGTGTGGACATCAGGCAGATCTACGACAAGTTCCCCGAGAAGAAGGGCGGCCTCAAGGAGCTGTTTGGCAAGGGCCCACAAAACGCGTTCTACCTGATCAAGTTCTGGGTGAGCAGGCAGACACTCGACTACTTCCTGTTTTTGCGATCTGTATACCAGCTCTATAGCAGCTTCACATCCATCTGAAATATTTAAGGTCTCAAAAATACTTTCTTTCATATTTCAGGCAAGGTTTTTTTTTCTCTTAATTTTGTATTTCAATTTTTTGTTGCTGTGAGTGAGCAGGGTTAGCACGTAGCTCGCTAGTTTTTCCTGTATTTTTCCACCCAGTGCCATATCTTTGCCTGTACTTACAAGTGTGTGTGTGTGTGTGTGTGTGTGTGTGTGTGTGTGTGTATGTGTGTGTGTGTGTGTGTGTGTGTGTGTGTGTGTGTGTGTGTGTGTGTTGTGTGTGTGTTCTGTCTTTCCACCTGGGATATGGAGGTGGTGGGTTGATGAAAGCACAGTCGCTTTGTTTGAACACCTGCTCACCTCCTGATTCACGGGTTGCTCTGTCACCACGTGGGCGTGTGTGTGTGTGTGTGTGTGTGTTTCACTTTACTGTTAGTGCTGCAGTACACCAAAGGACTTTCAAAAATCCCGGCAACACAACACATCACACATTTAGTCATTTATTTTCCATCAGTGCTGCAGACACTGTGATAATCACAGAGTATCAGGTATCTGCTTATGTGCAGTTTACAATGCTAACGGTAGAAGATTTTCCACTCAGGATTCACATTCATTTTTTATGTCTCTGGAATTTTCACTTGTAATGTTAGAAGAGGAAAAGCTTTTAGGGCGAGAACCAACTCATGTTTTATTGCTGAATGTAACTCAGATAATGAGTTTGGCTATAGTTGTGAGTGTAAACGTTCTCAAATCTAATAGTGAGTAGGACAGAGCTGCTAACATTAGCATTAACATTAGCCTAAGCTTTGATAGCATCCAAGCCCAGCTTCTATACAGGGGAGAAATACCACAGAGTGGATGTGCTATCATGAATCATGTTTTTATTTTTAACCTAACCCCACAAAATAATGTAGTATAAAATGTTCCCTTAATTGTCTTTGGTTTAAGTTTCTACTGTAGCTAGCAAGGTAGTTAGCCTGACATGCTAACAGCTGCATCTTATGTTACAGGAGACTAACACCTACCCTTGTGTTTTTGTTGTTGGAAAGCTTCTAAGAAAGTCACCACAAGCTCTTTAAATGCAGCGTATGACTTTCACTAGAGTCCCATGTGGAGAAAACTGTACCTGTAAACTGTACATTAAGATGGACGTAGCTCTCCGTGACGTCATCCACAGGTGTCTGAAGAGCGGTTTTGAAGCTCAGAGTGGGCTGCTCTGCCGTCACCATCTTGGCAGCACCTGACTTAACCTAACTCCCTGCTAATCCAAAAATGGGCAAAGAGGTGGGGCATGCGTGGAGCCAAGACTTTAGTGAATGTCAGTCTGCGCACATAAAGTGGCCACGCCCTCAATTATACATAACTTTAAGCCTTAATATAATTTAAACGGGTGTGCCCCCGTACAGTTGCCACGAAGGGAGAAATTAGCCATACACCCGCAAACCATTTTATGTACCAGGCTGTAAACATGTTTATTTCTGCTGTAAAGTTGAGCATTTTAACGTGGGAGTCTATTTGGGGCCAGCCTCTAGTGGTCATTTGAGGAACTGCAGTTTTTGGCACTTCCGTGTTGCTTTCGTTTATTGTATAGGTGATGAGGTGTGCTCCTCGCAGCATGATAACAAACAAGTGTGTGTGTGTCACGTAGAGAGCTTCCCCTCTGAATTTAATTAAAAAGCTCTCTGATCTACCACAATGGTGTGTGTTTCTGATAATCTGCCGCTTTAATAGAGCACAGTTCCATGTTTGTGTGTGTGCATGCATGAACGAATGTGCGTGTGGGTGACTTAGCATATGGTGTGATTGTGTGTGTGTCTGTGTGTGTGTGCCTGTGTGTGTTGTCAGCCCTGAGACACACAGTGGTCCTTAGAGAACTCATTACAAATAGTACAAACCCTTCTCCACTTCTCTCAGCCTGTAATCCAGGTGCAGCATGTTCTCACTGTTCTGATTAAACATTTTCCAACTTCAACTTCACAAAGTTGCACAAAAAATAATGTTAGCAGGTTAGTATCTCACTATTTGTATAGTCTTACAAAAGTTCCTTTAAGCATAAGCAAACATGCCACCAAAAAATTTGGCTACAAAAAAAAAATGACACCGAAATTTTAAAGCCCAGGTCAACCAACATATAACAACACGAATGTTCTTACTACCTGTTTGTCCAGGGTTTGAGATATCTCTCTCTCTCTCTCTGAGGTTTCTGCTTCCTCCTCAATATAATGGAGGGAAAATGATTTTGTTGGTGGTGTTCACAGCACTCAACAATCACTGTTAACAATCAGCCGCCTGCAGGTAACCCATTCATGTCAAACTCACGCCGTGCAGCCAAAAATTGTAGAAAGGCAAAGAAATTTATTGTAAATTCTTGTGATCGCAAAGTTTCCTTTCGCAAAATGTGTTTTTAAAAATTTCTAATATTTCTATTTGATGTTGTGGTGCAACCAAAGAAACATTTTTGGTTTGAATATTTCACTGTAAACACCACTTCAACAAACAGCTGGAAAAGGTTAACACAGGAAAAAGTATCCGACAGAGTGGAAGAAGATCATTTTAACTACCTCAAAGCTACTTAAGAATAAACAAAAGGAGAAAACTGTGAGTAGTTAAAAAAAAAAAATGAAACAGCAGCGTCTTTATCCCTCTGTTCCTGTCTGGATAATCCAAAAACCTTACTGCCTGTGAACAGTTTTCATAGGGACTATTTCTCCAAGAGAAAATAAAACTGTCCCATTGACCTCCATTATACTGGGCTGGGTTTAAGAATGTATGACTGTCCAAAGTCTCAGTTTTTTTCTGATGTCTTGTTTGATGAGAAGAAAGTGATGGGAGCTGTACAAACCCGGTTTCAGAGTCTGCACTGATAAACAGCAGATTATTGCCTGATGAAGATAAAGCTGCTCGAGTTTATATACAGCTTGATTTTTGAACAGGGCCTTTTGTTGTTTTAGTTGTTTAGTTTTAGTTGTATAATAAGAGGACTCAGGCTCAACCTGATGCTGCATGCTGTGCAGTGTGGACACATGTAATGTGGCTGACTCACCAGCAGAGGGAGCTGTTGGCTAATTTTGATAGCACAAAGCATAACTCATTTATTATACTCCAAGACCAAATCCATCAACAGTCATTTATATTAATGATAACGCTGTAAATCATGATGTTTTTGCTCTGTGGTTTCCAGGCGGACCTGAACTATAATGTGCAGGACGACCCCGCGGCCTTCTACGGTGTGACCAGCCAGTACGAGAGCTCGGAGAACATGACCATCACCTGCTCCACCAAGGTCTGCTCTTTCGGCAAGCAGGTGGTTGAGAAAGTGGAGGTGAGGATGGTTTTAAATTCTCATTATGAAATGTGGTCTATAGAAGCAATGTGGGAGGTTTTCATGGATGTTAAACACCTGCTGTGCTGAACTTTTAAACAAGAGGAGGAGGAAGTTAAAGCTCAGCCAATAAAACCTTTAACACTTTCTCCTCTTAACATGTCTTTTAAGGGTTTCTGGCTCACAGAAAGTGGTGGGTTTTACGTAGTTACTAAATTGAATTAAATTCTGGCAGCCACTGTGGAACAAAGAAACCATAGACACACAAGGTCCAGGGTTAGAATTATCAACATAAATGTTCATTCAGAGCTTTCACATTAGAGATGCTTTAAATCAGTCGCAGTCGGTTGTAAGAGAAAACCAGCTTAAAAGTATGAAATTTTAGTTTTGTACTCCCCTAAAGTTGTGGGACTTTAATGGTTCGTTACTAGATTTGATTTGATAATAAGCGTCCTCTCTCTCTCTCTCTCTCTCTCTCTCTCTCTCTCTCTCTCTCTCTCTCTGTCTCTCTCTCTCAAGAACGGAGTCGTCACGCGCGCGGTTTGAAAACGGGCGTTTCGTCTACAGAATCAGTCGCTCTCCAATGTGTGAATACATGATCAACTTCATCCACAAGCTCAAACACCTGCCTGAGAAATACATGATGAACAGTGTGCTGGAGAACTTCACTATTCTGCTGGTGAGGACATCAGTCAGTCAGCGTGTCTATTTTGTCTACGTATGCGTGTGTGCATGTTTTATATTATGAACACCTGAATTTAAAATCCTTTCTTTCCTGTGTGTGTGTGTGTGTGTGTGTGTGTGTGTGTGTGTGTGTGTGTGTGCAGGTGGTGAGCAACAGAGACACTCAGGAGACCTTGCTGTGTATGGCGTGTGTGTTCGAGGTGTCCAACAACGAGCATGGAGCACAGCACCACATCTATCGACTCGTCAAGGAATAACACACACACTTATACATATAAATATATATATACACACATACACGGACACACACATATGGCCTTTGTTTGGTGACTGATGGCGACACTGGAGGTAAAAAAAAAAACAAAAAAAACAAGTGTCTTTCAGCCAAACAACTTCGATTTAGTGGAGGAAGAAATTGGCTGCATTTTCACTGCTGCTCACGAGACAAAACATTAAGAGGAAATTTTTAATTAACATCAGATGTGACACAGTACGCTGCAGAGGCCTCCCCAACAGGAGCATTTCAACACAAAATATTAAATCCACCCTGAGTATTAGATGCTCATTAGCTGGAAAAAAAGCACAGTGGCAGTGCAGCCATAGAAACACATTAAAATCGACCTGGGTGGTTTTCCCCAAGAACATCCTGACTCAGACATCACAGGGAGATGTCATGTCTCCTGCTAATTGGTTTTCTTACCCACTTTCACCCAGCAAATTCACATTCTGCTGTTCTGATGATGAAGATGAAAGTCGTGTCGTGTCTGTCACATGTGTGTTTTGGGGAAACTCAGCCCAGGGAGAGGAAGAAAAAAAAAAGATTTTCAACATTTTCATTTTCTGCCCCTGTGAAATAAGTGTGTGTGTGTTATCTGCCAAGATATTGACGGACACTGAAGGTCAGACCCTGTGTATCATCAATAACCAGAGAAGGAAATAACACTACTGCATTATCATATAGTACAATATAGAGGTGGATTTGTACAGATAGCCACTGCGAATTGTGTGAGCTGCATTCTTGCACAAAAAAGAGGTTTGTCCCAAAGAGAAGAGAAAATCAAATTTTTACCTTTTGTATGTTTTCATCTAAAAAAAAAGAAAAAAGAATAGCTTCTAAACTTTGGGAAATTGTTTATTGATAGTAGCATATAGACTATATTTTAATTCCAGGAACACTATCTAAAATTTATGTCAATAAGAAACTATAAGTGAAATTGAACAATTCAGGTACCTTTTTTTGTGCAACAGGTGACTCTTCATCTTCTAGATATAAATAAATAAATAAATAATAAGTCAAGAGTTTGTTAAAGTTATAATCCTCAAGATTTCAGTCCCAGTTGATTTGGCGTTAAATACATTCTGTTTCCTGTGGCCCTTTCACAGTAAAAGCCAGCACCTGTAGGAAATGTTGTGTTTGCATTAATACAGATGTGATACCACTCTAAGAGACTAAACAGTAGATGACGAGGCTGATTTGAATAAGAGAAACTACAAACATTGGATTACATGTTTCCTATTATTTGAGCCAAAGGTTGGATTTAATTTGATGAGAATCTTGAGGATTAAAACTTTAAATATCTTGTGGTCGGTCCATGGGAAAGCACTGTGAACCTTCTGAACTATACAACAACGTCATTCATGGTGTTTCAAGGAAAGGAAAAGTTTCATACGGTTAAAAGAAACAGCTAAAAGAAACCTGTGATCTGCAAATTAAGCCTAGCTTAGTTCAATATTCTTATACCAGCTAACTTGAGCTTTAACTCATCCGTACTGACACAGGTGTTCAAGCCTGAAATATTACCACAACCATATTTAAATTGAAGTTTTCCACAGCTTGTTCAGTGCTTGATTTCAGCTCTAGGGGGCATTAATTCAGTTGAAGACACAGTTCCCTTTAAACAGTGGAGGACTGGTTTCTTCCAGTTACACAACACTATGTCAGCATAGAAGTGATTTATGAAACAGAAACCAAAAAACTGTTGAAGTGATGTGTACTGTAGCAGGTGTCGACCGGTGGTCCGTCCGTGTCATGCTCAGCAGCATGAAGTGCCTTTGGTTGGAGACAGAAGTAGAAGTTTTTACTCTGTTTTTATGAGAGTCCTGATAATTTTGCTGTTGTAGATGGTGGGTAGAAATATACGGAGACGCATTATAGGGGATGACATGCTCCAGTATTCAGTGTCTTGTCCAAATTCTATATTTAAAGGCTGTTTCTTGTTGTAATTTGTAGACAGTCAGCAGTGGACCATCCTGAATTATCTGTTTTTATTTCCCACATGATGTCAGTGAGACACACTCTGGTTCATTTTGTGTCTGATGGATTATAACCAACATGTGTTTGCATTTACATGTATGTGCGACAGGTTCATGTTGAAACAGCTTCCACATGATGGTGCCTCATTCATAAAATGCAACAGTTACTACGACAGAAGACCAATTCTAACTTGTATCTTCACATCCCCACTGTAATATAATTGGAAAAAAATAATTGGGCCATTATTATAGAATTAAATATGGTCGCAATCATGTTCATCACTTCTTCACTTTGTTGCCAAGAATTAAATGAGAAGACTGATACTAGTTTTATGCCACGATAAACATGAAGCTACAGCGGTTAGCTTATCTTAGCTAGCATAATAATTGGGAACAGCTAGCCCAGCTCTGTCTGACGGTAACGACATCTTATCAGCATCTCTAAAGCCAACTGATATGTTAAATCTCAGTTGTTTAATCCATTAAAAACCATAGTGTGCAGTCAATAAGTGTGTTTCTATCCAGCTGGTTTTATGCATATTTTCAATTTGCACAAGTGGGAAATCCAAAAACTCAAAATAGCAAAAAAAGAAGTTTTTACGTATTGGTGGAAAAAGTTTGTAAAAAGTTTGGTCCCACTGTTCTAGGAGCGACTAGTGCTCTAATAATTACATAATAATACTGCAACAGTCTAATGGCAACCAGCACTACCAAATGTTTATGTCAATGAACCAAATTGCATAACAGTAGTGTAATGAATATTTGAGCTGTATATGGTGGGAAACCTGAGTAATGCACCTGACCATGGAATAGTCCAGTACCTAACTCAATAAAGTAACAACAAACACAATGCATATTGAGTGAGTTTCAGAGGTGCTTGTAGACAGATTTTTATTTTATGTTATTTTTATTTTAGTTGTGTCCCACTGTTCCAGCCTGTATGGTGCGCTAAGCTAACTGGCTTTTGACTGTGCTTCGTATTTACTGTATAAATATGCATATTTAGTGTATAAACGTACTTGTGGCATCAATATTCTCACCTAACTCCTGGCAGCCACTGTTATAAACCGCACTATCTTACAATTAGCATCCCACATGACCAAATAATGTCTATCAACACCTGGTCCATTGATAAACAGGGGACTGTTCCAACAAGTAAAACTCTCTGGATAACTTACTCAGCAAACCTAGCCAGAGTTAATACACATACCTGCTTGTTAATAGATCCCAGAGCTCCTTTCAGGTGATTTGATACTCACAACACTCACAATAACATCTCATTTGGACATAAAATGATAGAATTACTTGCATATTAATGAATGAGGCCCAGAAGTTTTCATATGTTTATAATAATGAATGCCTCTGGAGGAAGTTGATCAGCAAACTGTCATGACTCACAGGGTTATGTTTCCAGTGTGACCAGCTGGGATGCTATGTGGTGTCCAGAACATCCAGGAACATGGTGTTTTAGGGCAACGTCTACTATTTTACCAAACCTGAAAAAGAGCCATCTTTAATCAGAGCTGGCCACCTGTTAAATATTTGGTCTTGACGAGTAACGACTCAGAAGACTTTCTACCTTTGTGCCTAAAAGTATTTCGATTTGTCAACCTCCAAAACCACTATATTTTGACTCTATTTGTCTGAAGACTCCTGTGGGTGTCAGCCCATCTGTCCAGTAAAACACCATCATCTCAACACAGCGGTGAATCATAATGTCAGGAGAATTCCCCTCTGCCTGCAGCTTTCCCAGAGTTTAGTCTCACGCAGTGGTAGTATGTTGTTTGCAGACAGACCACTCGGCCTTCACACCAGAGTACCGACATGTAACATGTACATGGTAATCTTAACACACAGCCTCAGAGGGCTGATCTTTGCAATAATGACCCTCTGTCTGGACATTATCTACCACCTGCTTACCAAAGACGGTCGCCATGCAACACAAAACACAGAGGAAAAGTGATTTATTACAAGCTAGAGTTACTTACAAGCTTCTGCCAAAAAAAGAGAGACTTCTAAGGAACAGGACTATCATCTTAGAAACATCTGTAGCTCATTGGCTACAATGTAAAATTGTACAGATATAAGTAAAACAAAACAAAACACATGAATAAACAAAAATAAATGGGAACTAGGTTTGAATTTGACCTGTCACACCGATTATGGACACCTTCTATCATCTTGTTTGGCGGACTGAAGAAGCCCTGTATGAGAAGGAAACTGATTTATTCAAAATGCCCTAAAAATGTCTGTTAAACTCACCTGTAGGGCTTTTACTGTTAAATGTCTACTCATTGTAACCAACTAGAGAATGTGCTCACACTAATAAAAGCCCCACAAAGAGCAGTGTATACATTCAAACTGCAGTGAACTGCTGAGTTTCTGAATCATTGTTGTATGTGTTGTCGATGTTATCTCGTACGTGCAAGTTGGATATTTATCTTCTTTTCCGAACCTCATGTGGCACAGAAATCCTGTCTGTAATCAATTCCAAAATGGCCTTGAAATCTTTTTCACTCCAGTGCATGTGCAATGCATCTGTGTGTGTGCACTGAGGGTTTTTTTGATAAGGTGCTTTGTATAAAGGTGACAATAACGTTTATTACAGATGTTGTGTATATCTTTGATATTCTAATGTTTATCCTATTTTGCGAAGAAGAGAGAACATTTAGGAAAAAAAAATCCAAAAGCTAGTAATGTGTGTCTGTTGGTACTGCACAGGGTCTGATCTTTGCTTTGTAACCTTTTTTTCCCCTCATGGCTAAAAGTATGGTAGATATTTTCTAGCTTTGTAGAGACTTTGTACGCATATGCTATTCAGTTTAAATAAATGGTCAGTTCCAAACTGTGCTCTGGGGTTTTGTCTTTACTCATTAGTCCACATTGAACAATCTGGTTATTTATTTTATTTCTTCTTTTGTTTCTGATTTTATTCTCCTCCAAACATCTCCTCTCTTTTAGCATTTTCTTATTTTATCTTTACTATTTTGTCTTAATTTTTATTTGATTTTTAATGTCCTACCTTTCATTTCTGGTTTTACTTACTTTAATAAATCTCCTCTGTTTTAGTATTTTATTATTTTATCATTATTAATCTATCTTTGTCTTTGCTTTAGAGTCTACAGTGTTTCCTCAGTTCCTGTTATTGTTG